GAACCCACCTAGGAAATGGTGGGAGTGTTAAATAATGAAGACATATTCCTTTTTAAGTGCTATTTCTTCCTGTTCCACTAGTTGAAGGTTTACATGGATCATGAATCATTCCCTAAAGGGAGGTGTCAATGGGAAAAATAAGGAAGAAGGATTTTTCCATTTGTTTGTTTTTCATTCTGTGAAAACTGTTGAAGAAATGCATTGCTGGAGGTAGAATGGGAATAGAATTTAAATCCATGAAGAACCACAAAGCTTCCTTAATATCTGGGGAGGCTGGAGTGGAACAGGGAGTCAGATAGCAGTTGCTGCCTTGTGTGTACYTTAAGCTTGTATTTCATTTTTTAGCTGAAATGGGCACGCAGCTTGAAACTAAAAAATGAGAACATGCCCAATCTTTTCATGTCAGCAGTTAGAATCAGAAGTGTCAGTGATTGTTTCCTCCATGARGTCCTTGCAGTGAGCAAGATGTGCTGGCGAAAGATAAGAATGGTAAGAAAAATTGCAGCGTAGGTTTTTTGCATATTTATTTATATATTTCATTTTATTTATAAGTAAAACAGGCGATGCCATTGACATCAACCCAGTAAAGATTAGAAAAATTGCAGAGTAAAATTGTTTGTGCAGTGCTGCACTGAGGTTGTGCTGAAGCTGCCCCGTGTCCAGGGTTGTGCTCAGGGCAATGAAATCTGATTATTTTCCTCTGAAACACCCACCTCTGTGGGCAGCAGTACCAGTGAGTTTACAAGGGTTTAGTGGTTCTATGTGAAAAAGTAATTATAGAATTCAACCGCATTGTGTCCCTAAAACTCAAAGGATGTGGGAAAGCCAGGGGAACAGCAGCAGTCCAGTGTCAGCTCACAGCTTGTGTAGCAGGAGAAAATAGCTTTGCTTGCAGACTTGTCAGTTATCTCAGCATCAGGATCGTGTTGGACCCTGAGCTGCRCTTCTTTGGTGACTTTTCTCTCATCACTAAAATTGCTGAGAATTGGTGCTGAGCAATCAGCTCCGCTCAGGGCTGGTTTCTCAGCACCAGGCTTGGGCAGGAGCATCAGCATCTCCCCAGGGAGGGTTGGCTTGGCATGGGTGCCAGGTGTGTCACCTGAGAGGAGCTCAGCACATCTGTGCCAGCTGCTGGAGCTGGGGCACACACTCAGGGCTGTCACTGCTCCGGGGAAATGGGCTGGAAGTTCCTGCAGGAGAAAACAGTTATTTGCTCATCAGGGAGAGGGCTGAAGGGTGTGGGTTGGCTGTCTAGTAGCTTATCATTATTCCTGCTGATTAATAAGCTGATATTAAGTTATAGGAATTTGCAACAACATCGGGCAAAAGTCAAGATTTTAAATCAGGGTGCKTTTAATTAAGCAAAGTGTAAGTCAGTAAAAATATCTCTCCTTTTCAGAGTTGGCAGTGRCTTTAATTTCCTTCCAAAAAGCTGAAGATATGGAATGGTATGTGATCTATTGCTAAGGCCAAGCTTGTAGTAATGCTGATTTASTGTAAAGAATATTTACTTGCAGCCTCAGAGCTTGGCAAAGAGGAGTTAAAAAGTAAAGATTCAAAACTATGTCAGCAGCCCATATGCTGAGCTTAGGAAATTTGGAAGAATTGAGCAATATATTTATTGGAATTGCTTTCTTCAAAGTTTACATGGAAATATTTCCAAACAGCTTGGAAGATTCAACTTTATGCTGCTGTGCTGTGTGTTTACAGGGGATAGGTCTTGGTCAGGACAAGTGATGTCCTGCTCAGTTCCAGGCTTCTCATGCTGGCATTTTTTAAAAAATAAATATCCCTGGGTGTTCTATCAGTCAACTGTCTGTTGGTTTAGCAGTCTGGTGAAAAAATCTCAGCCAAGCTTTGTTTTAATAACTGTATGCCTGGCTGTAAAGACTRTCTTACTTTTTAATGCTACAAATAYCAGAACCTTGCCTGAAAAGCTAAAATCCATCAGTGAATCTAGGAAAGAATTACCCCAGAGCCTCAGCAGAACGGACTGAAGTCAGGCACTGCTTTAAGCAGGCTCTCTGGGTTCTGAAGCCCCGGGGGAATTGCCTGGGAGCCCAGTCCATCCCTGGAGCTGTGCAGGGCAGGTGRGAGCTGAGGCCAGGCCAGGGCAGCAGTGCTGGCCATGGGAGGCCTTGGTGAGTCATTCTTCCTGTCACATGAACCCTCCCTGCKCTGCTAATAGGCACTTAGTTGAATTTTAGATGCCTGGAATCATTAAAAAGGCTGGAAGGCATTTGTGTACCTTGTCCATTAGAAGAAAAATACGTTTTCTATAACTGTAACCTCCTACAGCCTCGAGCTCAACTTTAGAAAGTAGCTGCATTTTTTGTGTCATTATCCATTACCTGAATTGTGATGTTTGAAGGCAGCAGGGAATTCAGCTGCTCTCTCCCACGTGACATTGGTGGAAGAACATGTATTTCTTTTTACTATTGAAAGAAGAACCAGTGGTAGGAGTTAATATTCTGCTCAATATCTGTGTCCTCTTTTGTTTCATCTCTTCCAGTGTTGTCACATGGGGTGCTTTCCTCCCCSCTCCCTGGTTACTGTGCTCTCAGGCTGTACCTGTCTGCTTTCTTACAGGCATGAGGGGTTGAGTTTCTGCCACCCCTCACCTGGAGAGCAGATATAAAGGAATCCAGAGTGTCCCAGGTGTGCCAGAGTATTTCCTTCTCTGCTAATAGATCAGGTCCTGCATTGGCAGAAGGAGAAAAGAAGTATTGAATTTTCATGGGTACACTGACAATAAGCATGGTGGAGCATTTAAAAATGACAGAACCAGGAGAATCATCGAATCATGGAATGGTTTGGGTTGGGATGACCTTGAAGATCATTTTGTTCTACCCCTGCCCTGGGCAGGACACTTTTCACTGTCTCAGTTTGTTCCAAGCCCTGTCCAGCCTGGCCTTGGACACTTCAGGGATCAGGGGCAGCCACAGCTTCTCTGGGCAGAGATTGAATCAAGCAGTTTGGCTCTGTGTTTTCCTGTGTTTCCTTGTCCCTTCCATTGCCCTTTGTGCTCTGTGCAGTCTGATTTTGGATCTCTGGACTAATGCTGACTCTTTTTAAAATCTATAAAGTATATTTTAATAGGCAGTTACCTCTCAAGTTAGTTTGCATTTACTTTTAATGCTGAGCTCCATGGGGTTTATAAAAAAAGGCATTTTTCTTTCTTGGAAAGYGTTGGAGAAGATGAAGGGGCCTGGCTGTGGTGGGAATTGCTGCAGCTCCTGCTGTCCCTGCTCAGTGGCCTGGGGCTCAGGAAGCTGCAGGTGAGAGGCAGGTCCTGCCTCCTCCACCCCAGGGCCTCACTGCCTGGGATTGTTTGCTCTGCTTCACATCTGGCCAGGGCCCAGCCTTGGGGATGTGTCCCTCTGACAGCTGTGCTGGGAGCTGCTCCTGGCAGAACACAGATTAAATTTTCATCCGGATCACTGATTTCTCCTTCTTCAAGGAGGTGGCTCAGCATTGTCATGTGAGGAGTTCTTACCCACAAAGCTGACCAGCACCTCCCTGTCCACCCCTCCCCCCATATTCTATTTGGAAAATGTTCCTGCAGAGCAGAGTGAGCTTCAGCTGATGGGGAATTGGAGTGCAGGACTGTGCTGCTCTGCTGTTTTGCTGCAGCTGGACTGGGAGAYGGTGCTCCTGAGTTTTTTCTGGTGCTTCCCAGTGTTGTTTCCTCCCTTTTCCCCTCTTGGCTGACCCCTTGGACCTGCCAGCAGAACCACTCGTGTTGTCATCTGCTAAGCCTGTTCAAGGCTTTCCCAGAGGATGTGGATATCGTGTGATCTGGAATGGACTGTAGGTTATTGACTTTCACTGGCACAGAGGAGCACTTCCATCCCTGGAATTGCCCAAGGCCAGGTTGGACAGGGCTTGGAGCAACCTGGGATAGTGGAAGGTGTCCCTGCCCGTGGCAGGGAGTGGATTGGGATGGGATTTAGGAGCCCTTCCAACTCAAACTATTCTGTGATTCTGTGATCTTTGATCTTAAGCAGCAAAATGAATAAAACTCCAAACCACAGAATAGTTGGATATCCAAGATCTGCATTTAGAAGTGTGAGCTGATTTGTTGTATTTTCCCCTGATAAGACATACAAGTAAGATAAGAACATTCCCTTACGCCCCCACTGCCTGTGTTAAATGCTTGAGGAGAATGGCAACATGTCTCTCCAAAGAGAAGAAAGCAAAATATCCTGGATAGCTTCAGAATTAACTATGTGGGAGTGCAGRAGGGAAAGCTGGAGGAGATGTTGTTCAGTGGTGATTTCAAACGAGGGCAGTGCCTCCTGCTCAGCCCAGTGAGGTGCTTGTGTGAGTTGTTCTGCAGAAAACCTCGGTGCCTTTGCTGCTGAGATGATGAGAAATGGAAGGAAGGGGAAAATGGGGTGGCAGCTGTAACCTCCTTTCTGGCCTGGTACTGCTGCTTCCCTGATCAAAGCTGCCATGGCACACCTGCCTCGTGCGAGTGATGCTGGATCTGTGATAGCTCCTGGTTATTTATACAGAGCCTGTGGGAAGCACAGTGCACAAAATAAACCGGCTGCTTCTCACTCATGCAGTGTGAAAGGTTGAAGGGAAATGGCAACGTTCATACTTCTGTGCATCCTTATGTAATGTATCCATGGAAAAAGCCTTCCTTAGCAAAGCCACGGGCAGCAATGGAGTCTTTTGTTGGGTGTCTCGCTGTATTTCTTTGGCTAAAACAGATGCAGCTCYTAMGCAGTGTGAGCTGAGGAAGTGCCAKGGAAATGGGAAGGTACKGGAAAGCTGTGTGCTGTGCTTTKCTGGAGTCCAGGTGTGTKAGAGGATTTAAAAACAGCATTAAAACTGAGGTGGAAGATTGATCATTTCAAGTGGGAATGCTTCGGAGGGAGGCTGAGCAGCTGCTCCATGTCCTGTGGTGCTGCAGAGCAGTCTCCTTCCAGAAGAGTCTGTTGTGTGCCATTAAACCTGCAGGGGTGATGTCAGARCACCGAGCACCCCCCTAACCCGTGGTGTGTGGCTCTGTTCAGCTGCAGAATGAAGAGGAGCCGGGCGAGGCCGTGCCCGTGGTGAACGATGCCCCTCCGCCCTACAGCAGCAT